CGTGGTCCTGGGGTTCAAAGGAGCAGAGTCCCTCCCGGCCACCATCCCACAGGCAGAGTCCTCACAGGGGACCCTGAATGTCCCGATGCCGCCTCTGGGCACAGACGGTCAGAGGCCTCCGGCTCCTCTCTGCTCCCAGGTCCCTGGCCTGACCCTCGTCCACAGGCCGCCCTCCTTCAGCCCCCGGCTCTGTGACGGAACGGCGGAGGCCGGGGCCTCAGCTACCAGTGCCTGCAGGCCCCGCCCCGCCACTGTCTTCTGTGACGACCTAAATTACGGTTCTCTCGTTCTCCTTTGTTCAACACACCCCTGAAATAGAAGGCAGGTCCCCTTTCTCAGACTGTGACCGGGACACACGGTTCCAGAAGGAGCGAGCCGGGGGGGGGGGCAGCCGACTGTCACCACCAGCCCATGGAGCACATGGCCACTGCCGCTGGCCCCCCACCCCAGGAACCCTCAAACCACAACCAGCCGGGGCTGCCTGCTGCTCCAGCTCTGACAGCTGGGCCACCTGAAGGCTCCCCGACATTCCCGGCTTTGGCTTTCTGCATGTCCTGCGGCAGGTCGGCCAGCAAGTACCTCAAACCCTGAGCAGGGACTATGCCCACCTGTCTGCCTCCAGCCTTTGCTCCCTGGGCACCCACCTCTGCCTCTGGGGCCCCAACACTGCTTGGGGTCTTGGTGGCTCCTCCCCCCACACCCAGAGCCTGCAGGCGGACTGGGAAGCACACACCTGACCCCAGCCCCCTCCAACCCCACTGTACCCCCAAGAACAGACGTGACCACGGGGTTTTCTAATAGTCACGGAGCCCCTCCCAGGGTGAGGGTCCCGGGGGAGAACACGCCCTGTGCCTGACCGGCTCTGCACAGACAGCAGCTCTCGGGCAGCCGCCCCAGCCCAGCCCCCGTGTCAGACCGCAGCGGGAGCCCTCACACCTGCACCCATGGAGGGGCTGCCTGCTGGGCTAGGACCCCCAGACCAAAGGGGCAGGTCGCCACACAAACCTGTGACCGTGCCCTGGACACGTGCACGCCCTCCGCACGGAGCTCACCGGGGCCTCCTCAAGGACACTGCCCGGCAGTGATAACGGGGTGCGGGGGGCCCTGGGCCAGAGGGCAGGCTGGGAGCGCGCCTACTTCCAGAGAGAACCCTCCGTCCTACTTAGCGCCCCAAGTGCCGCTGCGTGCCTGTCTCCGACCCGCAATTAACACCGGTTCTGTTTGTGGAAGTCCCAAAGCACAGCCTCAATTACAGCAGCTCTTCAGTGACCGCTCGACCCAGCCCCGCTCCAGGAGGACCGCCCGGGACGGACGCCCTCAGCTCGGCTCTTCCGGGCAGTCTGGTCGACCTGACCGCCTTCCCCCACCCCTGTGCCACCTCACGGGCAGGCACTGCCGCTCTGGGCACAGCCTGTCCTTGGTGCATGGGCCCAGGAACCCCAAGGCCTGGAGGGCAGAGAATGCAGGCCTGCGCTGGACGGGCACCCAGGAGCTCCGAGGTGCCCTCGCCACCCTCCCGGTGAGTTCCACACTCAGAGCTCGAGTGTGGGCTGGGGAAGCAGGTGGGCCAGGCTCCAGACGGCACACAGAGATCCCACTGAGCGACTTGTGAAAGACCACCCACCTTGCCAAGCTCTGAGCGAGCCCACGCCCACAACCCCGTGCCAGAGCCTCCTGCCGCAGCGCCCACACCTGGGCGGCCGGCGTGTGGGCCCAGCTTCGGGAACACTGCTCTCCGCCCAGGGAGCCTGCGGCGCCGCCCCAGCCCCGGGCTTCCGTGTGGCTGGAGGGCACCCGGCAGGGCCCCTGTGCCAACCGTGGGGCCCGGGACCTGCCCCCAGCGGCCACGGCCCTCGAGAGGAGCCCTGCAGACTGCGAGACACAGGACACCAAGAAGTCTCCAAAGGACCGAGGAAAGGGCTACCTTGTGCCTGATGCCCAACCCCGAGGGGCTCCCCAACCCCGAGGGGCTCCCCAACCCGAGGGGCTCCCCAGGCCACTCGTGCCTCCTGGGGCCTTCACCCACTTTCTGGTTGGCTCAGGGACACAACCCCACTCGGTGACACTGTGTGGGCACAGCTGCCTCTCCCGCCTCTTCTCTCGGCTTGGGGACAACCCCTGAAGTCCCCGGTGACCCGCGAACAGGAAGAGCTTGGAGCCAGTGTGTCCGGTACGTGAGGTCCCTGAGCTGCAGGAGCCACAGGGAGCAGCCCAGGGGTCACGGACCTAGGCTGCCGGGCATCTCAATGAAGCTATCAGGGGCACCCCAACAGGCACTGGGGGTCTTCCGCCAGCTCAGAGGGCCAGGCCAGGGGCCCCTTCCCCTCAGCACACACGCGGGGCTCCCCACCACCGGGGGCAGAACACACACGGGGCTCGACTGCCCCTCCCTTCCCCTGAACGTAACTGAGGTAAGAGCACGAGGCAGGCCGGCCCACGGGGCACAGGTGGGCACAGCGCCCGCAGGCGCGCAGTCTTCTGGGAAATGACCACCACTAGCCTCGAGGTGAAGGGCCACAGAGAGAAAGCAGATTCGGGGAAGCGGACGACGGCTGGGCTGAGGGGAAGAGCAGCCATGCCCAGAAGAGGGGAAGGGGCCTTTCCTGTCTGAGCACCAAGCAGGGAGAGGGGGTACCCCATCTTACAAACGGGGGACAGGCCGAGAGGTTCCTAAGCTCGCCATGACCACAGGGCCAGAAGGACAGAGCCCAGACCCAACTGCCAAGGCCTGGTGGCAGTGCCCGGGTGGAGCTGGCCACAGGGGAAGACAGGCCGCCATGCCTTCTGGGAGGCTCCTCACTGAGAGCCCCAGGCAGGGCGAGCACCGGGCAGGGCAGAGACCCGGGTGGCCGGGCTTCACGGGGGCTGGCAGGGCACGCAAGCCTGGGTCGTGGGTGCCCTTGGACAGGGAAGAAGGCTCAGTCTCGAGGAAACTCCACACTCCCCACAGAAAAAGTTTAAGTCTGGGGCACCCACGTGTGTCCCCTCTGGCCCCACGCAGCCCAGGGACCACCCCCGTCCTCTGGGCTCGGCGACCGAGGTCCAGAGCAGAGCAGGAGCACGGGGCGGGCGGCCAGGGCTGTGCCAGAGGTTCTCAGCGCGGCAGGGGGAGCTGGAGAGCACACGGGGCCACCGGGAGCCAGGTGCAGAGGGGCCGCGCACTCAGCGGAGCAGGGTCTCGTGAGTGTGGCCCCGCCGCAGGTGGGGTGGACACTGTGGGCGTGGCCGGCCCACAGGCTCCGACCTCCCTGGCCCTGTGCTTGCCCAGCTCCAGGACTCTCTGGCCCTGACCTCCACCCTCCAACTGCAGACTCGATGGCTCCCAGACAGCGGGTCACAGCAGGGCCTCCAGGGACAGGACTCAGCTTGGGACAGAGCCTCCGACACCTGCTACAGGCTGGACGGACCTTGAGCACACTGCTGAGTGCGAGAAGCCAGTCATAGAGGCCGTGTGCGCGGACTCCACTCCTACGTGATGCCCAGAACTGGTCCGTAGACAGACAGCAGCTTGGGCCCTGCTGGGCCGTCCCTGCTGTGTCCTCAAACAGACGGTACGCACTCCACGTGGGTGCGTGTGCGGCACGCACGCCATCTCGACACTGATACCCGACAGACCCTCCAGGAGAGACAGCTGTGCTGGCAGCTGAACCCCGACAGGCTGGCCTCAAGTCCCCTTGCTGGTCATCAAGCCAGCCCCAGGCAGGCAGGCAGGGTGCTGTTCTCCTCTCGGGCAGTGGGGGCGCTGTCCCCTGGTCAAGGCTTTCGGGAAGCAAAGTGGCCAAATTCACCAAGGGTGGGACAGAGCACCCGACGTGCACCAGGGCACGAGGGCTTCTAGGTGCCCGCTCACAGCCCACCCCCAGGGACGTGCCTGCACAGAGTCCGGGGTGATGAGCCCTGGCCTCGGCAAAGCGGGGAGGCGACTCAGGCAGGCAGGGCCTGTCACTGTGGCTGAGAAACGCACAGGCCTCGGCAGAACAGCGGCTGTGTGCTGGGCATCAGGGCGTTGCTGCCCTCCCCCCGCTGGGTGGCCTCCTGCAGAGCGTGCTCTCCTGCTGTCCAGGCCGCCCCCTCCCGACCCCGCAGAGGGCCGCAGCAGGTGGGCCTGCTCACGTACACCGCGCTCAGCAGGGGCAGGACCGGCTCTCACTCCCGGCGTGAGGCCCGAGGTGCTCATGGGCACCAACAGACGTGTGCACAGACGTGTGCACACACGGTGTGCGCATGTGTGCACCCAGCTGCCAACCTGACAGCTAGCAGGAAGGGGGGCTCAGAGGTGAGGGGTCACCTGAGTGCCAGCCCACACCTGCCTGGGGTGCTTCCCAGGGCTGCCGCTCCTGCCCACTGTTTGCGTTACACACAGGTGGGCGCCCAGTTCTCTTCTCCCTCCGTGTCGGAGTCACAGGTGACCTCAGAGAGCAGGTGTCCTGGGCCTGATCCGGGTCCACTGGCTGGGCTGCTGTTGAGCCGGGAGTGCCGGCCTGTCCTAAATCCCTGCCCTGCTCAGCACAGATGCCCGCGACGCCGGCAAGATGACGCAGGGCTGCCCCTCGCCCCCCGTGCCGTCTGCCTCGCGCTGCAGGGCTGCTGGAGGCCGCGGGCCAGAGGCTCAGGCCAGGCCGGCAGCACAGATTGATTAGAAAACAGTTTGGGGCCACTCCGAGGTCGGAGCGCAGAGGACAGGGCGGGCAGAGCCATGTGGTTCTCTGCTGTTGTGGGGGAGAGCCTTCCAGCACCCCACTGAGGCTGAGAGAGCAGGGCAGGGGGACCCCAGCACCACAGTGGCCACCTGGCCAACTCCAGGACATGGGACACTTGCTGCTCCTAAATCTGTCAGGAGAGTGGGGCCTGGCTCTGCCCAATTCCATCGAGGGGCTGACAGCCAGGGGGGCCCCCCACTGCCTGCAAAGGCCATTGGTCCTGAGACAGGAGGGTCGCCTGGGGCTCTCCGTGCACCCGCGCCCCTGCACTGAGCCCGGCCCCCGCAGGCGGCAGCCTACCTGCAGCTCCTTGTCCGAGTACTTCTGGGGGTTCTTGCTGCCCTGGCTCTTCTTGCGCAGCTTCCTCAGCTCAGCCTGGCACTTGTCCAGCGCGTCGCCCCTGCTCCTCTGCTCCGCCTGGTACTTCTTCAGTGCGGCCTGGGGCGAGGGCAGGGCAAGGCGGGTGAGCCCCGCTCCCTCGGCTCCCACGCCAGGCTGGGAGCACTGACCCCGGCACAGCCCAGCCCCTGGCTCTCCTGGACGGGGATGGTGGTGGGCACGGGGCCTGTGTGGGTCCCACGGAGCAGTGGCATCACGTCACCATCTTTACCAGGAAGTGGGTGCAGCGAGCCAGGCAGCGGGGTTCACCCGCAGGGCCAGAGGAGCCCTGGGTGGGGCGCTCGGAGGAGACCCAGCCTCTCAGGGGGAGGGCCTGACAGTCAGCAGAGCCAGGGCAGGTGTCACGGGCACTTACGCTCAGGTACCGGGAGTCCAGCTCCACCTTCTGCTCCAGCTGCGTGAGCAGCTCATTGTGGAAGGACTTGAGCTGCAGAGGAGAGCACGCTGTCAGCGCCACGTGTGGCGGGGGACACAGCGCGCGGCGGGGGCACGCTGTGGGGTGGGAGCAGCGGGCCCCACCCTGGGACAGGCGCCCCTGGGAAAGAGGGGCTTTTTGATCAGGGACAGGTGACACTCAGAGCTGGGAGGCTCTGGGAAGGGTGCTGAGCACCGGCCTCCCATGAGCCCACCTGCACTGCCTGCCCAGCGCCACACGAGGGAGCTGGACTCACCATTTCTTCCAGCTGGTTCTGGATCTGCCTGTGGACTTCGGCCATCTGGAAGAGAACGTCTCCTGGACGGCAAGGCAGCAGGGAAGAGAGATGGGGGAGTCAGTATTTCCCATCAATGACCCCGTCACCCCACTGACTCAGAAGTGGGGCACCAGACCGGGGAGCAGGCAGCACTGGGTGGGCTGAAGGCCTCTGGGGACCCAGCAGGGCTCCCAGCACCCCCGGGCAGGAAAGCTCCGGGGACACAGGTGCCCCTCGGCGCAGCTGCAGGGAGGGTGGAGAACAGGAAGGCGTCCGCACCAGGACGCTGTCACCTGAGGCAGCTGCAGCCTGGTGTCACGGAGCACAGGCCTGAAGGGGCCCCGCCCCAGTGGCTGCAGAGGGAGGGGCTGGAATGTGGTCCGGGCCACATTCGTTTGACCAGCAGATACATGCTGAGGACATTTTTGGTGGCCGTGGACACAGTCGGAGCAGGACACCACCCGTCCTCGAGGGCGGTCCCTTCCTGGCAAATCCTGTCCCGAGCTACCTGCACCAGGATGGCCCTCCCTGCTCATAGCCCAGACGCCTGGGGTCACATGACCCACAGGTTCCTTTGGGGGGCAGCCACGAGGAACAGCTCCTGGGACCCTGCAGGAGGCCCCAGTGGGATGGCACTGCCCTCCCAGACCCCACCACTGCCCCAGAGCCCATGCCTGGGCCACGCTCCCTCTTGGAAGCAGGCTGGGTCCTGGGGAGGCCAGCTCCTCTTGGTCACCTGGCCCTTCCACTAGCTGCTGACGCTGTGTCCGCCTGATGGACACAGGACACGTGGAGCACCGACCACGACCAGCCATCTGCAGGTGGATCTCTGCCAACTGGCACGGTCCGAGTCCACCAGCTACCACCTGAGCCGAGGGGCAGGTGCCCACCCTGTGGGGCCCACAGCCCTGCCTCCTGGGGGCTCTGGGCGTCCAGGCACACCACCGCTCTCCGGGGCCCCAGCCGCTCTCAGGACACTGCTGGGCTGCGTCCCCAGAAGTCTGGCTCCGTGCCAGGCGCACAGGTGTCGGCCGAGGGAGGGTGTGCTTCCAGGGCGCTCGGACTGTCTCCCGGCAGCAGGACGGCCCAGCCTCCGCCGTGGCTTCCTGCACTCGGGACAGAGCTGGAACCGCGCGTGGTCAGCCAGCTACCGAGGGGCTGGGCTGAGATGGACCAGCCAGCAGGGAGGACGCCAGTTCACTCGCCTCTCCCATCCCGACCCCCCATGTGCTGGTTCGAGCTGTCGGAACGAGCCGAGGGGGACAGGAGCCAGAGAGGGCATGAGGAACCAGGCTCCCGTGCTCGGCTGAAAGGGAGCCCCGGGGACAAGCTGGGGGGCATGCTCGGGACAGCTGCGACACAAGGCCAGGCTGCTGCCACCTTGCCCTGCCGGGTACAGACCCGGGGGGAGGGGACCCCAGCTCCCGTCAGCACCCCCTGGGGCCGAGGCTCCCGGGCTTTGCTGCGGCCTTATCTTGCCGATGCTCTGAGCCGCTGTGACCACGGCGCACATGGGAAACCCAGCCACCCCGGCCAGATCAGCGCCCAGAGGTGCTCCTGGCCCCTGCTGCTCCCTGCCTCTCGGCCTGAACACGTCTCAGGGCAACAGCCGTGGCTCTGGGACCAGGAAGCCGCCTGGAGCCCGGCCCGTGTTCCGGTGGCACAGGGTCTGCCTGTGCTGGGCTCTGGGTCCACTTCCAGCTCTCGGGCCGCAGGCCAGAGTGTGGTGGTGCCCACTCGGCCCCAGAGCAGTGCCCTCGAACCCCATGACCTTTGCAAGTAGCAGCAGATCCGAACAATGAACGCAAAACAAGCAGTGGTGACAGCCCCCCGGGCCCAGTAACGGCCCGGGCAGGGCACACGCCAACAGCCACGCCCTTTGGGCCCCAGGATTCCAAGGTCACGTCAACATCTTCAGGAGAACACACCCTCGGGAACGCAGTGGGGCGTCCCTGCCCTCGGAGCTGCCGCAGGCCGGGGCCACGCCACACGCACAGCAGACCCAACGGCGCGTCGAGCTGCAAGCCTGCACTGCTCACACAGCCCACGGTGACCCTTCAGAACCGGAGCCACACGCACAGGCACATGCAGGCGCAGAGCGAGGTCTGAGCATGTGCGAGTCACCAGGCACGGGGCTCCTGGAGCATAGCGGGGGCACCACGCCACTGCAGGGACATCACCCCGCCACAGGAAGGAGGCTGCGACCCCTGCCAGGCTGCCCAAGGAGTGTGGGTGCCTTAGCCGTCAGGGGTAACCTTGCTGTCCCGTCCTGGTGTCCTTTCCAGCCTCAGAAGAGGGCTGGCGAAGGTCCTCGGAGCCCGAGGGTCAGCGGGACCTGTCCCCCTCCTTGGGCTCCCGGACCCTCTCAAAGGACGGCCCAAGGCAGGCACCTTCCCAGCACCCACGGGAAGGACGCTGCTCCCCTCAGCGCCTCAGAAATCCAGGGCCCGGGCCCAGCGGGCAGAGCGGGGGCTGGGGAAACGCAGGGCCAGGAGCCACCACAGGCCGGGACTGCCAGAGGGGTGGGGACACAGGCAAGGGGGCAGCCCTGCCACACCCGAGGTCAATGAGTCAGCGAACCCGGCCTGGTGGCGGGGCAGCAGTGGGCGTGAGGGAGCCGGGAGAGGCAGGGGAGAGCCGGGCACGGGTGGGGCCAACCATGTCGCACAGAGGCACCCGCAGACGAGGTCGCGCCCTCGTCACCCCGTGCACCGGCGTTCACCCTGACAGTCAAGTGGCAGGTCAGCGGTGAGTCAATGCCCCGCACACTCAGCAGCTCGGAGCTTTCACGCTCTTGGGGTGCTCAGAGCCCTGCACGTGGCCTCACATCTCCGGGCGAGAGTGGAGCTCACCCACGTGGCAGCACCGCTCCTTTCGGGAAACGGGGGGGCAGCCGCCACACACAGGGACAGCACACATGTGCAGACAGGCACACACATGCACACAGGCACATACACAGATAAGCACACACAGAGACATACATGTACAGACAGGCGTACATACCCAGACACAGGGACATGCACATACAGGCACACACGCAGACACAGGCACATACACAGATGCACACAGGGACAGCACACATGTGCAGACAGGCACACACATGCACACACGCGCACACACAGAGATACACACAGGGACAGCACACATGTGCAGACAGGCACACACATGCACACACAGGCACATACACAGATAAGCACACACAGAGACAAACATACGTGTACAGACAGGCATATACGCACACACAGGCACATACGCACACACAGGCACATACGCACACACAGGCACATGCATAGACAAGCACACACAGAGACAAGCATACATGTATAGGCAAACAGGCACACGTGCACAGAAAGGCACAGGCGCGTGCACAGGCACACACAGGCACATGCGGGCACACAGGCGCACACGGATGTGCCCATCTCCCATCCGCACGGTGCACTGTGCTGAGTGGCATGTGTGGGGTGTGTGAACACAGGCCGTGTCTTGCGGCTGCCACCACCCGTGTTGCACACCACTGATGTGGGGGCCGCAGGGGAAGAGAGGTCAAAACTCGGGGCCCGGCCAGCCTCCCCGTGGGAACAGAACCCTGGGGCTGCTGGAACCCAGGCCTGCATCCGTCCCTCGAGGACATTCACAGTGTGAGCAACCACCCCACCCGGTCCCATCAGCACACCCGCTCTCCCCAGCCCTGGCCGCCAGAAACCGCTCCCTGCCCGGGGTCTCCTGCTCTGGGCACGAAGGTGCCAGTGGACTCACGCCACGCGGCCCACGGACGCTTCCTCACTGCGCTGTTCTGGGCTCGGGCATGTGGGGGCCGCTCGGTCTGGACCCCTCCCCCTCCCGAGGCTGAGCGACACCCCAGGTGTGGATGGGCAGGTCTGGTCTGCTGTCTGCTGCTGCTGTGACGACTGGCTCTTGGTGGGAACGGCGAGATCTCACTGGGAGCCTGAACTCCACCTGCACACGGTCGTCTTCACAGATGGCTCTCAGGTTCCCCTCCGCACACGGCAAGTAGTCCACCGGCCCGCAGACCCCAGGGAGCTGGGCAAACGGGCCCCAGCCAGCGCATGACCCCTGGGGGGGAGTCGGAGCCTCGGGCCAGAGCGGCCAGGTCCTCCAGATACAGGACCAGGAGGTCGAGGTCGAGGTCAAGGTCAGGACCGCCCCCATCTCAGGACTTCCAGAGCTGCAGCACGGAGCCCACGGCCTGCCAGGAGCCGGCGCCTGCAGACGGTCAAGTCTTCCATCAGCACACGTGCGTGCTCGGGGCCAGCCTCACAGGGAGGCCATCTCAGAACCGGGCAATGGTCTGAGGGTTCCCCACACGGGCTCTTCAGGAGCAGACGAATGATTCCAGGAGACAGCGCGTATCACAGGGATAGGACTCGGGTGCAGACTGGGACCTGCGGACCCAGAATCACCGCTGGCACCCGATGAGAACCCTTGGCCAGACAGAGGTGGCCGGCGCACGGCGGGGACCCTGGCTCACGTTCCACCTCATGTCACCCTTCTAGGTGATGGGACTCACCAGAGGTGCTGCTTTCTGGCACCTGGACTCCCCGGGGAGAGGGGCCAATGCGGCAGGAGCCGGTGGAGCTGAGCGGGGAGGAGGGGAGCGGAGGGTCCTGGGGGTGGCACCTGGACTCCCCCGGGAGAGGAGCCAATGCGGCAGGAGCCCGTCGAGGTGAGCGGGTAGGAGGGGAGCGGAGGGTCCTGGGGGTGGCACCTGGACTCCCCCGGGAGAGGGGCCAATGCAGCAGGAGCCGGTCGAGCTGAGCGGGGAGGAGGGGAGCGGAGGGTCCTGGAGGTGGCACCTGGACTCCCCCGGGAGAGGAGCCAATGCGGCAGGAGCCCGTCGAGGTGAGCGGGTAGGAGGGGAGCGGAGGGTCCTGGGGGTGGCACCTGGACTCCCCCGGGAGAGGGGCCAATGCGGACAGGAGCCGGTCGAGCTGAGCGGGGAGGAGGGGAGCGGAGGGTCCTGGGGGTGGCACCTGGACTCCCCCGGGAGAGGGGCCAATGCGGACAGGAGCCGGTCGAGCTG